TTTTGTGTCCGAATATATTACATAAAAAAATGTGTTGGTCTTACAAAAGGAGAAGAAAAGCATGTTCTCAACATAAGGCGACTGCAACTCACGGCCTGAGTTGGTAATCAAACCATTGGATCATGAGCGAGGCCACACGTGTGACGGCGCGTGAGCTACGAATATTTGCAGAAAAAGACAGTAAACCCCGTCATGTTCCCACGTGGGAGAGAGACTACGGTGGGCCCCGACTTAAAAAAAAAACACGTCGGCAACGGCTAAATGAAAAATTTGTGGGCCGATTTGAGTTTAATGGACTTAAATGGGTCATCACGATTATTTGACCCATTTGTTTAAAAAAATTAGTTATTATCGACAAAGAACAAAATCGCGTCGCGAATAAGCTTGCTAAATCGGTTCATTTCATCACCAAATTCCAACCTCAAAAACTTTTTGTTTCTATCCCCAAAATTTTATTAATGTAATGGTAAATGATTAAGCCAAAAAGAAGTAGAAACAAAAACCTAAAAGGGAAAATTAATTACGCAACAAAAGTAGCGTGTTAAAAAAAAACAAAAAATCAAACAAAATCGATGACAACTACTAACAACTCGAAGTTATTACCCATAAGCACGTCCACGTGCACGTTACACCTGATTTTCTACGTACCGCAAGCTATTATAATTACACAGTTATTGACGATTTTACCGGATTGGTTATCTACGGTTTACGATCCGATTCCGAGTCTTTGACCAGATACATCACATTGTACGGGAGCTAAACCGATTCTTGATCTTTGCAAATCAAATTCAATCCACATGTTTTGTTGATGATGGTGTCCAATCACGTATGCCTCCATTCCCATTAAATCGGAATTTCCAAATGTGAAACAATAAACCGAATCGTTACCAACGGTGAGATGCGGGACTCGGTATAACAGCGGTTGACCCGAAACCGTAATCTCAGCTCCTTCGAAAACCAAAGAAACCGTAGGTAACTGGTGAAGAATCCCGGTCCGAAGCCGAACCGGAGAAATCCTGTAACACAAATCCATAGTTCCTTGAAAAACAAAATCCGGTTCTTCGTAAACCGTCAAAATCCCGTTTGTTCGGTTTAAGAAATCAGTTCGAAGCGCGGTGTAAACCGGTCCAAGCAAGAAAGTAAACTGAGTACCGGAATCAACCATTGTTTGACCAGCACCGGTATGATCCGGTACAAGAACCGATTCAGGGATAGGTAAAAGCATACCGTTAACTTTAATCCCCGTGAGCTGGACGGTGTAAGCAACACGGTCGAAATAAGGTAACGGCGTGGAGATCCTAATTAACGGCGTGTAATTTAACGGCGTTAACCACGTGAAATTGGAGTCGCCGCCGAGAAGAAGAAAACCGGGGAAATCGTCGGTGCCGGAGATACAATAAGAGAATTTCGGGAAACCCATTTGAGAGATGAAAGAGAGAGATCCACGGTTCATACCCAATAACCCGGTTGTTTTGTTATCTTCTTCCGGGTCGGATCCGGATACGGATCCCATACAACCGAAAACAAGATTGGAGACGTTAGTTGAGTTTCCGATGTGGAAAATCTCGGCGGCGAGGTTACCTTCGGAGGAGGAAGCATCGGCGTAGGAGAGAGTTGCGTGGCAGAGTTTGTCGGAATCGCAGGAAGCGGGAATCAGGAAGTCTTTGGTTCGGGTACGACAAGTGGGTGAGGAACAGGGGATTGGTGAGTAAGAGGAAGAACGGGTCGGGTCGAAAATGTTAAAC